AAATATGATAAGGGAGGAGAGCTTGTGGCTTAGAGGTTAATATAACTGCCTAATATGTAAAAAGCCCAAGTTCGAAGCCCAGTAAGGGTCTGGCTAGCTGATGAGAGCTAAATAGCTTGAAATAGATCTATACTAGTCTCCCTTCATTTATTTATCAGCAAAAATGCAACACAAAAATCATTTTTCTGCCTGGAAGGCTCCTGGAGTGGGGCTGAAAGGCAAAAGGGAAGCAGTATGCTCCCTCCTATATTTAGGCATACCAGGTGCTTTGACCAAAATAAAACCCCAAACACTTAATCATTACCCTGGTTCAGTTGATAAGAGCTTGTGGCTTAGAGATTAATACAATTGCCTAATATGTAAAAACAGCCCAAGTTTGAATCCCAGCTAAGGTTATGGCTAACTGATGAGAGTGTGGCTTTAAAAGATTGCAGCTTTTGTACTTTATTAACAGTAAAATAGTCTTTATATGGGAGTGGTGCAAGACTGCTAGCACAGAAATTATTTCATTTGATCCAGGAGTCATTTCCCAAAGCTAAACTCTGTTTAATGCCAGAATTTGGCCTTGGAAGGATATAAAGCAATAAAGGGACTGTAAGTATTTACAGAATGTTAGTAACTCATTGTAGTCTGATCATAGTCAAAGGATAACACCTGTAGATCTTCCAAAGACAGATAATTCAGCCTTTTAGACCATCTTGAGTTCTGTTATTTTAGGGAGGATTTTTTTTTAAGTTAAGGAGCATATAAATTTGAAGACGATGACAGGGAGAAAGGGAATAGAAGAGCTGTGGTTTACGGAAAGAAGTTTCAGAATCCAAAATTATACAGGTAACATTTAAAGACTAACTGAATTGTATCTATATAAGTGAAAGCAAAGAAAATTTTGTTAAGTTAAAATTTTTGGTCTTAAAAGCATTAGAAGTTCCAAAATACCATGCTGTTGCTTCATAAATATTAAGGGAATTGAGTGTGGATGAGTGGAAAACTTTTGATAGGTTGTTTTAGTTAAGAAAGAAAAGCCATTGTGCTTGAAAATCCACCACATGAGTTTGGAAATTTAATAAATCAAGACTGGTGCACCAATTATATACCCAAGCATCTTTCTTTTGAGCGTTAGACCAAAGGGAAGTTCTGGGAGCTTCATCACTCGAGACTTTCAAGAAGAGAGTGGACTGCCATTTGTCAGAAATGATGAAGGGTCTCCTGCTTGAGGGGGGGATTGGGCTAGATGATCTTACAAGATCCCTTTCAACTCTGTTAATCTGTCCTTGGGGAACTGATCATCATCTCCAGTGCTGTGTCCGGTTAAGTCCCAAAGGTGCTTTTTTTTCAGGAGGCAATTGGATTTCTTTGTTTTTCTTTTTCTTTTTGAAGACGTGTCGCTTCTCATCCAAGAAGCTTGTTCAGCTCTGACTGGATGGTGGGGAATGGAAGGATTTATACTCCTTGCATTGTCCATTTAAGTGTGTATTGGAGAAGTCCAGACAGAGCGCCAATTGCCCAATGGAAATACATTTCCCAGAATGCCCCGCTTCAGGCTGGGCGGTGGAGGGACGCACCTGGACGGCGTCGCATTGGGGTGGGGAAAGGCTGAACGGGACTGGACCCGACTTCCGTACTCAGCACGGCGCCCAATAGAATCACGACTGGGAGAAGATTCGCTTTCTGGGCTAGTTTTCCTGGAGGCTCTCTAGGCTTTCGGGAGGAGCGGAGGCCTTTCAGGAAGAGGCGGGGGGGGGAACGGAAAGGCCTGTCTCCGCTGCCGTTCCTTTCGTTTGCCAGGCGAGGGAAGGGGGGGGGGGGGGGGGGGGG